ACTAGCGAATCCAGGATGTCATTTGGGGGGGAGAGGGGGGAGAAGCTTTAGCCCGAATGTTTCTTTTTTTTTTAAATATAACGATTACTTTGGAATTAGAAAAAAAAAAAACTAACTACCTATGTGAAATGGTGTTTAAGTGACTCTTGAAGTCTTATTAAATGTAATTACATGAACAATAATACTTTAAGAAATATTTTTTTTCATAAGACATGGTAATATTTTACCATTTTGAGGGGGGAGAGAAGGGACTGCAGCCCGAAAGCCCTCCTCCAACGTAGATCCGCCTGTTTCTGATTATCAAGAACCATACATTCGTATGTCTACAATCTTCTCTGTCCTATCACTCTCTTACCACAAAATCTCGATCTTTATATCATTTTTCACTGATCTGTTTCATTTCTAAACTCCTTGACGCTCGCTCAGCCATTTTCTAGGATTTACTCTTTCTTAAAATTAAGTATTCCCCTACTTGTATACATTTAAAAAACTCCTACTTCAGTTTCTATTTTCTCAAAATAGACACCGGCTAACCATACCCTATTTAAAAACGTAGTCCAACGGATAGACCCCTTTTCTATTAAATTATTAGCATCCATATCCTAACTTTTTTATCTAAGAAAATTCTTAGAAATGGGGAGTTTTCTCGTAGTTTTTAAATTAATTAATTTAATAGGGTACTAAAATACCATAAATATAAATTTGCTTTCCTCTTGAATCGAATGATATTTAGATCAGAAAATCCAGAAAAAATATGATCTACAGAATTATTGGGTCGTTTGGTCGATATCATCTTATTATTTTGACCTAATGGAGGTGGCCATCACGCAAAACAATCCAATTGGGTTTTGTTGGCTATCTTTTTTAACGATTTTTTGATCAAATTATCGCACTTCTCAAAAGAAAATCAAATAGATATCCATATGCGTATAGTGCCTAACTCATTAAAGAGACAATGTTTTCCAATCTCCAGAATGAAAACGCTCCATTTCCGAGAATTTTCTTATAGAAAAAAGTTGCATGTTTCAATAAAATGAAGCCATTCAAGAAGTTTTAGATGAATGTTAAAAAAAAATGATAAAAAAAAGAGGTCAGTACAACGCGGACTAATGCTTTATTCTCATTTTCGCTTACTACTTATGACTTTGAAACAAGCATTTCATATTACTTTTCATACAGATCTGTTTTTCACCAGGTATATTACAAACATGCTTTTTATGACATTTCACCTATTTATTTTTACATTATTTTTGTTATATAGCATTTATATTTTGCTAATGTGGAATTCTAATAAATCTTCATAGCGTTCATTTGATAAAGTACATGTTACACACCACATCCATGTACATTCAGTCTTTATTTGATATTTCTGTGTATGAAACAACATATCTTTCTTCTTTTTTTTTACTGGAGATTACAGTTAAACGTATTTTTAATAACATATGATTTTTTTTTTTATCAATTAGAGAAAATTAATTTTTTCCTATTCTTTGTTTATTTTCCTTAGTAATGAATATATAGTTTTCCATTCTTTATTTGTTTCGTGCATAGTATTAAGTGTTTTATGCTTTAAATTAGTGTGCATTTGGGCAACACCAGGGTTTAGATCAAAGTTATAATATATCATAAATGAATTACTTGATTCTAATTTGCCTAGATTTTAAAAGAATAAGATAATTTTTAGATTGACTTTTTGGACAAATCCAAGTCATATCAAAACTGATTAAAAATGAAATAAAATAAAAATTTCATTCTAAGGCCTGTAAAGGAAAGATAATTTTGTTTTATTTATTAAATGCAACAGATTTCTTGGTCAGGAGTAATACTTTATTTTTCTGTACAATTTGTTATTCATAAGGGACATCGTCTCAGTATAATGTTATTTTTCTATTATATTTTATTTTATCCTGTCAATTTAACGTAGTCTGAATATTAACTTCATCATTAAAATATTTATCGGTACTTAACTAGTTTTCAGCCATGCCTGAAAAGTTTATAGATATTAAACGCAAGAAACATTTTTTTTTTTTTACAATAATAAATTTAATATGCCTTTAGGACCTATAAACTTTTATTATTATTGTTAATGATCCAGTTTTTGTTTGATTGATCGATCGCTTCCGGTAATGGTGCGTGCAGAAATTAAAAAACTAATCATTATCAAGGAAACAGTGATGTAAGCCAACACGCGTCCTCGAAAAAACGAGATTATCTGATCGTTTTTCACCGAGTAAACACATTATTATCTCTTGTATCGCAGAATGCATTCTGTTTTCCTCAGCTATTTTTATCCCCTTATTTATATAACTATCATATAGAATTCTTTAAACATATATAAAACCAGAAAGATAACTAAAATAAATAGAGAAAGCATATACAAACATATCGACGAGTCAATATCTACAATAGAATAAAGGATATGTTTTCGGATGGGAAAAGGAAATAATACTTTATGTCGTTATATGTACATTTAAGTAAAAAATAAAATAAAAGTATCAATCGATTCCAGAATTGTGAAGAATAAACATAAATAAATATCATACCCACTGAAAATAACAATAAAGTAAAAGATGTTGAAATTTTTGGGTAACTTATTTAAAAATCCCCATTTTAACAGTTTTTATGAAACATTTTAGAAAAAAACGTTTTTAAATTAAAAAGTTCTAAGAGACTATTTTTGAATAAAGTTTTAGGAATACGACATAAGTTTAACTTTTATTTATTTAAGTTTCGAAAAAAACATACGCTAAATGAGAAATAAACGATGATTGGGTTTAGATCAAAGTTATAATATATCTTAAATGAATTACTTAATTTTAATCCGTCTCGATTTTAAAAGAATAAGATAATTTTTTAGATTAACTTTTTAGACAAATCGAAGTCATCTCAATTTTTTTCTGTTAATTTCTTAAGAACCATAATATTACTCCAAAACATAAAAAGTTAAACGGATATGATTTGTTATTTCTGATGAATGTGTGTTTTTACAAGAAAATTTTCACATAGAATAACCATATTTAACATATTACTTATTCAGCTAAATATAGAATAACCAAGGAAAAATAAAAATTAGCAGGATTTAAAGAGCTTAAAAGTTTTTAAATACTTTAAAATTGTAAGGTTTAAAAAATCAACCGAATTATTTATGCGAACTAGTATTTTTACTACATTAATTATTATTTTTATAAATCTTTTTGAAAATTAATTAATTATTTTAAACATATTTATTTTAAACTACAACCAAATATTCATTTATTGCCAATTATAAATGAAATTAAATTGAAATAATAAATAACTATTTTATAGTTATTACTCTCATACCATAATAATAATTTATACAATGTCAATGTAAGTAAACATATTCTTATTTTGTTATTGTTTATATTTTATGAACAACCATTGATTGTAAACGTTTTCTTTTCAATAATATACCAATTGTTTGTATTTTCTGATAAAAAAAATAGCTGATCTCAATATAATGAAAATTTTAAATTTTTTTGGAGGAATTTGTCAAAGTTTAATATTAGTTAGATACAAGTTTTCACATTGACATCGATGGTATTGTTTTTCAGAATGTGACAAATTTTCAGTATTTATTTAATAATGATTTTAAATTAGTTTCAACTTGTTGGAATAAAAAATGTTTCTTACAGGTATAATTGTTTAACCTGTTATATCTGAGAACAAAATATAATACTGAGGTATTTTGCTCTTGATGAAAAATAGTTTTTAATTATTGGGTTGACATTGCGTTACTTTAAACTAATTTATTTTCAAATGTGAAATGGAGTTACTATTTTGAAACCAATTTTATGGTTATACTGTATAGTAATGTTAGAAAAATATAGGTTAAAAAAATACATTATTTTTATAATAACATTTTATTTACAATCATTAATATGACATTTTATTTACATGATAATAGTACAAAAATAAATTTCAACAAACATATTATGGTTGGATAAGTAATGAAACAAAAAAACTTAGGCTATCAGTCTTTGTAATATTCAGTGGATATCTAAATATTGTTATAAAATATATAATAGGGATTTTCGTTTGCAGCAGCAGTAACCATAACATTGACAATAATAAGCGGCATGGCCTATTTTCAATTAAAAAATTTTTTTTATATAAAATATATTATAATAGTTAAACATGGAAATATAATATACATAAATAAAATTCCACTAAATCATATTATAACAAATCATTAAAAAAAAAAATAATATGCTATTAGTAGAAATAAAAAACAAAATAGTTACTAAAACTTTGTACAATTTTCTATTTATATTAAGAAATTAATTCCATTTTTTAACAGTGCACGTATTCATTGTAGATATAAATAAAAAAAATCTATAGGGATAAGGTCTTATCAAGAACTAGATAAGAACAAAGAGAAATTTAATGTTTTATCTGAAAGTGACGAATACGAGATACTGCTTTTCAATTGGAAATGTTCCAGTAATTTATATTGCAGCTTTCCAGGATGTTCCTAACTATCCCTAGCACTTCATAGATAACCTAGGTGAAATAATGGATTATTACTTGAAATAAGAAAAAAAATGTAAACCCTGGTAACTTCTTCCACATTAAATTTTAAATTAAATTCGCAAATTACACTGACCTTCGAATCGTCAGGGTTTAAATTCAAACAGAATTTAATTGTTTCGTTTAGCGAAAATTTGACACCAACGATTTACATTGGTCAGAAAAAACATCCAAACAATAAAATAGTTGCTCTATTAATATCCGAAGGTTACTGTTTATTCAAAAGGTGATTGTTAATGAAGAGAATAATCGATGGCAACAATGGCATGTGTGTGCCGTGGATAAACTCAGCAGTTCTAGAGCCTTTGCATATTCATATCATTTAATGTACCAAACGGAATGTACTCAACCATAGATCAAACCAGGTCGCATTGTATTGAAATAGGGATTTTTTGTTTATCTATTTGTTTGTATACAAATTAAGCATGTTTTAAATCTGTTTAAAAACTTTATGATAATGTGAACATTTTTTTTTTTAATAATGTCTAGGGTACTTTATAATTAAAACGTTCACAAAAAAATAAAATTTGTTCTTAAATTTATAAATATTAATTCAATCGAACGGTTTGTTTATGTTAGATTAATGAACAAAAACACGGGCCAGTTACTGGCGCTACTTATGAAGGAGGTCAGTAGCGTGAAGTCGGGTAGGAACAATAAACAGGTGGCAAGATAATACACCTGCCTTGTCCTCATTAGGGACTAAGCATTTTCAAAAAAGGAAATGAAAAAGCCAAAATTATGCACAACAAATAGGTTTATAGCTAACGTTTATATCTATTAGAAAGTTAGATTTCAATTCCAAACCGGTTTGAATTAAAAACAAATAAGAGAACTTGTTTTATTCCAGGCTGCACTTTGGAAGACAACGAAAGTGAAACAGCGTTAATGGGTTAACTTGACTCGAACTGGGAAATAACTTAACTTTAACATAACATTTGTACATGGTGTTTAAGTCAGACAAAAGAAATAACAACCAGAAAAAGTTCATAAAAAATAATTGTAAGAAATAACAGAAATCATCACAAATATCAGTCTAAATAGAAATATATACACTTAACAAGAATAATGTACATTTATATTTAATAAGAGAAAACTAGCTCTCGTTACCTCAGACAGAGGACACAGCGGCGTAGTTCAGGGGCGAGGAATATCTGTCTGCCAGGACAGCGCGATCGAATCGTCCATGAGGCGTCATCGGGAGAGAAGCACTGAAGACGACGTCCGTGAGGCGCTTGTGAGGAGCGGTGCGGGCGGCCAGCCAGGAGACCACGTCGGCCGGGTCCGGGGGGCTGTAGGGGTCGGCGGGGATGACGGCGGCCACGAGGGCGCTGGGGGTCCCGAACACCGCGGCGGAGCAGACCCCCGGGTGCTGCTGCAGCGCCGCCTCCAGCTCGCCGGGCCACACCCCCAGCCCCTCCCGGCTCAGCCCCCCGGCCCGGGTCAGGTAGAAGGTCCCCTCGGCGTCGTAGTAGCCGCTGTCCCCGGTGGCGGTCCAGGCGTCCCCCAGCTGCGGGCCCCGGGCCCAGATCTCGCCCTCGCTCATCGGGCCCACCTCGCCGCCCCCCGCCGTCACCCTCACCTCGGTCCCCGCCACAGGCTGGCCCACCCTGGCCGCCCCTCCCTCCGCCTGCTGGCTGAACACGACGGGGCCCTCTGGCGGGCCGTAGTGCTGGGTCACGCTCACCCCCGCCAGGCTGGGGCATTCGGTCCCCAACTGCCCAGCGATGGTCAGCGATCTCAGGCCTTGCAAATCGACCAGCCTATTCTTCACTAGCTGCCCTACGGCGCTGGGGACCGCTGAAGCCGCATTCACTTTGTACCTCTGAACAGTGGTGGTAAGATCGCTGGCTGCCGGTAAAATGACTATCTCTGCTCCAGAAGCCAGTCCTGAAAGTACACCATGAGTCAATCCATACCTGGTGAACATTGGTACACTTGCTGCTAGCCTGTCCCCAGGCCCTAAATCGCTCCAAGCAGCCTGAAGGCAGCTGGCTAGAAGACTCTCCGTACTCACCTCCTTCTTTTCCTGGCCGTTATCGCCCCACCTCTGAGTTATAAGGGCTGTGTTGCTCCTCCTATGGACGATCCCTTTCGTTTCAGTCAGATCCACAAAGTGCAGAACTCCGTTGAAAACTATGTCGTCGTCAATAGTTATGATACCTAATGGATATTCTTGCTTTCTCTGTTCTTCAACCATTCTCTTCGCCTCTAAAACATTGTGAATAAGACTAGATTTGGTGACAACCCAATCTGTGGACATCGTCTTCAGGATCCTCGAAATCTCTTCAGTACTGGAATCTGGATTGATGGGGGAGAGAGGAATACCTGCTTCGAGTGCACCCAGGCTCGTGACTACCATCTCCACGGAGTTGGGCAGCATGACCGTGAGTGGACCCGCTGCGTTGCTGGACAACCAGGACGCGAAGCCCTCGCTGGCCTGTCGAAGTCTTTCGTAGCCGATCTTCCGGCCGGTCTGGGAGCAGAGGAGAGCATTGCGGGCGTCGCCCCTCTGGAGTCCAGTCCAGACGTACTCGTGGAGGGAGGACCCAGGTGCGATGGAGAGATCACTGGCCCGGACGGTGTACCCTCTGGCCAGGAAACGGGACACCGACGAAAGAACCTTACTCATTGCTCGTTCGAATCGGACTGAGATGTTTACAAGCTCTCCCCACTCAGATCCGCGTCCCCACTCAGCCCGTTCCAGAAGAGGACTATTTATAGAGTTCCTCTTATCTTTCTTTACAGGTCTCTGTATCGTCTTCTTACAATCGTAGTCTAAGCCACCAAATTACTGGATGATAATTGGAAGATGAGATATCACAAAAAAAATTGCACTATATTTCATCAGCAATGTTCTTCCCATTCTAATATTCTGCATAGAAAAACATCTAAAATAATCATAAGTAAAACTTGTTTTATTAATACCGGGTTATTTATGTTACAATTAATTATAATTAACACTCATCCGGATTAAAATACTTAAAGTATTCTCATCTTCGATTCGTTTTAGTTCTCATTATTGAAATTGTGGTATTTCCTCCATATGAATATCGCATAATTTATACTCCATAAGAAAAAGAGTACACATATTTCTTCGAATATATATATATATATATATATATATATACGATTGTAGATACATCATCCTTAATATATATAGATTAGTTTATATAATTTTCATTTATATATAATAATATTTTTCAAAATAATTAATAATCTCTTCAATAATTTTCTTATTAAGATACGCGACCTAACCATGCTGCAATAACACGCTGTCTCCTTACTGGGACCACTTGACAAGTTCATGAAAAAGATGTGACCGATGACGACACAGTTTTAGAAGATATAGTTTCGTTTCAGTAATTTTCAAAATATATTTCAGTTTGAATTGTAAATCACTCATCTTGATCAAATAAATAAATCCTATATCATATGTATCAGAAAGCATGATGAAGTGTCTATAACAACAAATACTAAAAATAAAAAACGAAATAAGGGATATAAATAAGGTAATATAAATTTATGATTGTTGCTGAAGATTAAAAAAGTAAATAAATAGTAATAAAACTGTTGAATGCACACAATTAAAAAAATCCATACACGACCAGCAAATATAAAATTATAAGACCTATTGAAATTCCTTAAGCCATTATTGATGTTTAACGTAATAATTAAAAGTCATAATATGGTAAAACTTAACACCAATATATAATAATATAAAATACTAGAGATGTTTGACATTCCTCTGGAAAGCTAAATATTTTAGAAAAAACTAATATCTAACATATATTTATATGCACTTCAGTAACAATTCACTGATATATATTTAGAGTACTCAAATAATGTTTCATTGTAGCTTAAACATGTCTATATATATTTTTTCCTCGATAGTTTAGAATTTTAAAAAAATATATAATGACTTTTAGATAAAAAAATCCATTCATTCGTCTAAATTTTCTGCATTTCAAAGGAACCACAATTTCAAAATAAATATATTGAAAATTTATATCAATATATCTAATAACTAAATTAATAAGTACTTAAAATTTAGTTCATTTAATACATAAACCGAAATGCTGTTATAAAAATGACAATAACTAATGCTTACGAAAAATATAGTGTAATATGGTATAAATATAGTATAAATATTATACTATAGTAAAAATATAGAATTAATTTAACATAAGATAAATTCTTTTATGACAATAATTATTTAAAAATTATTTTAAAACTGTTTTTTTAAACTGCCTAGCGGAATCAGAAGAGAGTGTACATTCCAGCCAACGCCAAATAAAAAGCCCTCACATATGTGACCTTCGCATCCTTCTTTCAAGGGCATTTTCGTTTATATATTCCAACAATGTTTACATTCATTCTGTGTTACAAGATCCAAATACAGTTGGATGTTTATATGTATGAAAAAAAAATACAAACAAATAAATGAAACTGTATGTTTGTGTTGTTCAATGAAAGTGTTCAATAAAGGTAAACTAAAAAGTAAAATAGTAAATAATGATTACATATTAAATTTTATCCTAGAAGGAGATACTATATATTACAATACATTTTTCATCATATTGTAAATTTAATTTCTTCAAAGCATATTCCATGTGCATATTCCAAAGCATATCTCTTATACTTAATGAATAAATTATAAATCAAATAACACAAATTAATATAATTTAATAAAAAATGTAAAGACAAGAATAACATAAAAATAAAATAAGATTTAGATTAAGATAACGTGAACCACTAGCGGATCTAGGATTTAATTTTGGAGGGGCTACAGTCCAAAAGTTGTTTTTTTTCATATATACACATATAACGAAAATTACTTTGGAAAAAAAGAAAGATACTAACTACCTATATGAAATGGTGCTTAAGTAATTCTTGAAGTCCTATTAAATGAGCAATAATACTTTAAGACATCATTTTTTAATATTTTTTACCATGAAACATGGTTACGTTTTACCATTTTGGGTTGAAAGGCTTCCGCTTATGACGCGAACTAATTTCTTAAAGACTGGGAGCTACCCGATGGTTTCATTCAGCCAAAGTATTTAGGACTAATAACCATTTTAAATTCTAGATAATCTTCATCTTCGATAAGGAGGTTGATAACTATTGCTTTATATCCGATATTTTATATGCTTTATATTAATTGGTGAAATTTAACAAGAAAACTGGTAGATGAAATTTTGATACGATGTAAAATATGTGAATATAAATAAGAATTCACCTCGACCGACACTGTACTCAATTGAATTTTAAAAACTGACGGCTTCAAATTCATCAAATCAGTCCAGTCAAATTGTAGCTGTCTGCAAGTGGAAACAATCAAATAATCGGTTTCTCCGGGGGATTTTGAATAGCTCTTCTAGATTTCGAGACACAAAAAACAACTTATTCTCAGACTTTTTATTTTTTTAGATGTTTATCCCAAACAATGTATTTTATAAAAAATGTCACTTTAAAGAAAATAAAATTAGTTAAGTATGAGAAGGAGTTAGTCGAGGGTGCGGTTAAATAAATAAAAAAAATTAAAATATATTAATTATTTTAATTTTTGCCGACGTTTCGACCCACTTTGCAGGTCGTCTTCAGGGCGTAGGATGTGGCACTGCGGGAGGCAACTGCCTCCCGTGTTCAACTGGCTCCCGCAGTGCCACATCCTACGCCCTGAAGACGACCTGCAAAGTGGGTCGAAACGTCGGCAAAAATTAAAATAATTTATATATTTTAATTTTTTTTATTTTTTTGACCGCACCCTCGACTAACTCCTTCTCATATTATATCAACGGTCAACCATCTCTACATCATTAAAATTAGTTAAATTATACCAATTTCTTGCGTAGTTTCTTCTAATGTGGGAAAAACGGGTAAGGAATAATATCTTTGTACTATGTATATATATAAATATATATTTATATATATATATATATATATATATATATATATAATATTTTAAAATATTAATTTTACATAGGTGCGTGTAAAAAAAATGTAAAATGATCTTATCTAATGTATTTTTCTTTTTCACTCCATAAACTTTTACCGCATTAAAATAGATGTTACTGAAATCAGTGTTATCGAAATAGGCTCGCATTCTATTTATCTTCAAGACTAAGAATGCTAAATATATGTTCAAATTAAAAACATAATGTTTTTAACTAGGCGCAGCATATTTTCACAATAATAACGTGTTGTTATCATAATTTATTAATGGTATAGTTGTAATTACAATGAAATATATTTATTGTTTATAATAAGTTATTAAGCCTAATCCACTCAAGGAAACTTAAAAAGTATAATATCTTAAGAGAAACAAATAATATTTTTTTACTATCTCGAGGACAGGCTGAGAGCATAAATCGTGTGTTTGAAGGTTCTCGTGCCCTTTTTGAAAGTTTTCTTCCGTGTGTTTTTTGCCTTTTAGTACGTCATGTCGATCTCAAAGCTGATAGAAATAAGAAGAAATAAAAAAAGTAAATATAATATTTTTTAATCATCAGTACAGTAAAATATACAGTGAAGTCCTAGGATTCGTGTTTTTGGTATAAAGTAATCTATCATCTTATTTATGAATTAAACTTTAACAAAAAAATCTAACCCCTACTATAATAAAAAAATTTGTTTTGTTTTTTTTTGTAAAAAGTGTTTAAGGTACATTTTTGATGGAGCTGAACACTTTTTTTTTTTTTATTTCGATCTTATTATGGATAAAAAGGCATGTTCATAAAAAAAGCTGCACAATATTTTTTTTAACTTAATTTTTACATCCACACCTGAGAAGAAAAAATAAACTAATAGTATCATAACACCATCATGTAAAAAATAAATACAATAAAAAAAAATCCAATATTTTTACAAAAGTACACGATTTTCTGATTTCGCAAAGAGAAAATTCATCGAAGTTCTAATTCTCATTTAAATCGAAGATTAAAAAGTTTGATGACTTTAAAAAAAAAAAAAAAAAAAAAACAAGATATCTCCTGAAGTTAATTTTTTTTTAAATACCTATTATTTAAAATTAAGAATTAATTAAATGTTGGCGTCATTATTACTAAATTAAATAAACATTTTGTTTATTTAATTTAATTTAACGATTTCATGTTGCGAACTAAAAATTCCAAAAGAGGGTGTCATCTTGTGATATTGATACATTTTGGAGGATAATTTTTAGCCAGACATTTAGTTTATACTTTTTTTTTTTTTTTTAACCAAAAAAAAAATTGTTATTTTTAAATACAAAACATAAATAACCCAAGTTTTATTTTAGATATATACTAGAAGCCTCCAACATTAAACGCTGCAGGAGTGGTGTTCTTGAAGAAGTTGGCACTGGCCCAAAAAAAAGATCAGGAACATTAAAAGATTAACAATTAAGGAACTATCAGAATTATTCTCTTATAGAACCTTTTGCTTAAAACTATTTATTAGTTATTTTAATTTCGTATTTTCTTATAAGTTATATATAAAAAAAAAAAATACTTTCCTGTATTTAAATGGTTAATCTGCCGATAAATAAATATTTCGAAATATTTTCGGTCAATCGAAATCAGCTTTAATTTTAATGAAGGTCTGTATTATGATTCCACCATATTTTTGTTTAAATAAATATCAATTGACATTTTAGTTACCAGTTAAAATTCCTTAATACATACAATTAAAATTACATTAA